TAGCTTGGAATCCATCCTAATTTTGCATGGAGCGTTTGCAACGAAAGCACAATTCTTAGCCCATGGAAAAATCGAACCAAATTTTTTTCGTGTAGTGAAATATAATTCTGCTCGTTATCTCTCATTTTTGCTTTAGTGTAAATAAGGATAGGCAATCTGTCAGTTTCAGGGATGGCAACCGAAACCGTTAACCGAAAAAATAGAAATTTTTAAAAAACCAGAAACCGAAAAAAAATTATCTGAAACTGAAACCCGCATTATAAAAATTTAGATTTCAAAACCGTTATTTCAAAACCTAAATTTTGTTTTTTCGTATTTTATTATAAAATTAAAAATGTATAACTAAAAATTGGACACCAATATTAAAATTTTTTGGTACAAAAAAAATAAATCAAAAAGAAATATTGAAGTATGGTATGTCTAATATTGTAAGCAATAAGTAGAGAAACTAAATTTGTTAACCACAAATAATTTATTAGGTCAAATAATGTAAAAGTTAGGGGAAAAAAATCGTTTTTTCAAAAAATTTTTAGTTTTTCCTTGACCTTTGGGCTTTTCATTGATAGTGTAACGTCTACTAAATATTCCATTTGAGCGAAGTCTATAGTTCGACAAAAGAATTTGGTTCACCCAACCAAACAGTTTTGTTCCAAATATATCAAATAAAAGATTTTGTTGCCGGAACCAAACTATGTTTTAAGAAACATTCATTTATTCAATAAATTATTTATTTTTGTATTTAAATAATTGGATTCTAGTAGAATTTTATAATAAAAATTGATTTAAAAATTAATAACATTTAAAATTTTATATATAATAATTGAATATTAAAAGCAGTATAGTGTGATAATAATAGCGTAATAATAATAATAATTCTTGGATTCTACAGCGGCAAAATTCATCTGCATGTACATAATAAAACAAAATTAATTTTCCTTAACACAAATAAAACAAGATGCGCGATGTTTATAACATGAACATTTTGAATCACATCGTGATTAAAAAATTGGAATTATGCAAATTTTTTTAACTTATTAAAAAAAACTTGAGATTTCGTTAAAAAATTGTGATAAATAGAAGTTATGTAAATTTTCTAAATAATTTCGTTAAAAATCGTAATTAAAAAATAGAAATTATGGAAATGCTCTTACTTTTTTTCGAAAAGAAATTTAAAATGTTCTAAAAAAATGTTATTCATAACATTTTTTTTCTTTTATTTCTAAAAAAACTTCGAATTTTGTTAAAAAATTGTAATTGAGAAACAGAAATAGTGCAAATTACTTGCTTTTTTAAGACAACAGAACTTTGTTAAGAAATCGTGATTAGAAATAGGAATATTTCAAAAAATTTTCTTCTTTTTCTTTAAAAAAAACTCATGATTTAGTTAACAAAATAAGATTCTGAATCGATAAATTTCCAAATATTTAAAAATTTATTTCGTAAATTTTAAAATGGAGTTCTAGAATTCTAAAATCGTGTTCAGAAATTGTGGAAGAGGGTGCTTTAAATTATAAACATATAGCAAAATTGCCAAAAATCAAATTTTGAAATTTTCATGTAATATGTCCAGTAATTAAATAAGTACTAAAACTTAATAAAAAAAGGTGCACATGTGAAAAATATTTGTAATATTAAAAAAAAACAGAAAATGTACAACAATTGTGATTATAAAATAGAGATTATAAAATTTTTCATTTATTTAAAAAAAATTAATATATTTTATTGAAATTGTAATTAACAAATAGAAATTTTTCCAAAAGAAACTGAAAATTCTCCGAAATTGATGCAAATTCTTAATTTTGTGAATTTTTTAACAATTTTCTAATTTTTTTTTAAGATAAGAAAAGAGAGCTGCTCAATTTTAATTTGCAAAACAAATATGTTTTTTGTATTAAAAACATAAATTGTAAAAGTTATGTAAGTGTACAATGGAGAAAATAAATTATTATATTAAAAAAATAGAATTTTTTTGAATGATTTCTCTTTTTAATGACAATTTATTAACAATATTCGCAGTTTTCATTAATTTTCTGAATTTATGTTTTATAATTGTTTAATTTGTAACTCCAACGCAAAAAAATAAAATAGTCAATAAAAGCATTTAATAATTTTTTTAGAATAATACAGATTTTTTTGAATTAATTAAAAAATGAAAATAATATAAATAAATTAAAAAAATGAAAGTAGTATAATATTTTTTATCAAAACGTATCAAAAAAACAAAAAGCATAATCATGACTAACTTCAGGTGTGGACAGACTGAACAGAATAAAAGAATTAATACGACGATTATTATAGATAATTTATTAATAATTGAAATTTCGTAAAATTGAATATTGTAAAGAAATGGATTTGAAAATTGTCAAAGGATTTTTTCGAAAATCATTAAAAATAATCGATTTAATGAAAAATTTTAGTTAAAAATTCTTGTAAATAATAATTCAATTGTAAATGATTTTATCATTTGGTCATTTTTAATTATTATAAAACATGAAGATATCGATAACTCCGAATCTTCGATTTTAAGTTTTAAGTAAAATGTTCTCTTATTTGATTAGGACTGGTTATATTTCTGTCTGTAATTGGTCCCTAATTTTTCATTTTTGGTCCGTAAAGTCCGTATTTTTAAATACTTTCACTGTTTTGAGCCCTGATACAGTCATGTTTGGAATGTTTGATCAAAGAATAAATTTTTAATAAATTTAATGAATTTGACAGAAACAGATAAATAAAGGAGACAAATTTAAAAGTGATATCTCTTTTGCTTTTATATATATATACCTCAGTTATAGCGTTGGTGCAATCGTGCAATGAAATGTTAGAAGCATCCGCGCGGAAGTGATTGGCGGAAAGGCATCCAAGTAACGTTCAATTTCGAGATTGCCGACCTCTCACCTACTGATCTGACTTGGTCGGTAGTGCGTTAAATTGCTCGAATTTCTATTGCATTTTTTTCAAATCTTCATCTTGATTAAAAGTCTCTGCAGATCCATCACTGTTATCAGGGCCCGAGAGCTTGCAGCTCATCTACTTGCGAATTTATAGTATGCACTTTTGTCTCGATTCATTCTTTTATTAACTCGGGGATCTAAGGGGCGGATTGAAAGAGCTTAACAATATGGCGACCTAAATTCAGGCTGCATTCAAACTTCAACGCGAAATGGATATAATAGGCAAGGTGTGACAGAAACTGACATCGCGGTGCGCATTCAACGTCAATGAATAGATTTATGTATTTATGTAAAGCGAATTCATGTAGTATGTACTCATTTATCTAAGTTTTTCATAGATTTAAAAAGAAGTAAAAATTTTTATATGTATAATGAATTTTGGGATTCGTTACATTTAAAAACTTTGTTTTTATTTTATTTAAACAAAGAAAATAGAAAGAAAATATGTTTATGAAATTGAAACAAGTACTTTTTCTATTTCTTGATTAAAATGAAGTAATTTCAAAAATTCTTCATAAAAACATATTTGAGGTGTTTTTTTTGAATTTTTATCTAGAGCCGGTCGTTCTTCCTCATCCTTTATTAGAGATTTTGCTCTTGAGTTGAGCTTTTTAATAATTGCACTGTGGTTGCGAAATTCTACAAAGAATTTCGTAATATGCACATATTCGTCGTAGGATAAAATTCATTATTCATTCTCAGCTTGGAGTCTTGAATGCTAAAAAAAGCATGGAAAATATATATGTGAGTGTATGCGTGTTTGATTTCATAATAAATTCATTGCATTTGTTTAATTATTGAAACACTTGGTATTTCGCAACTGTTTTAATAAAACAAACCATTTTTTAAAACTATAATGAGTAATTTATGTTATTTTTTAAATGCTCTCTAAAAAGTTATTTTCATTTAAATAATTTTGAAATATTTTTCATTGTTTTAAAATTGCGTATTACAAAATGTTAGAAATTTAAAAAAAATTAATATGTGTAGGAAAGTTGTATACTTTTTGTTAATTTCTTAATGAAAGTTGACGCTATTTTATTTAATAACTGTTTTTATATATAGTTTTTAAAAAGTAAGGAGGAAAGACAAGTTATAAAATGTGATGATGCTTTTCAGTATTCAATATTCAGGCCACGTATACTTAACAATTGTCAGTACTGCCCTTGTTTCAAATCCACACATCACTTCATTTCCACTTATTTTCTATGCTAAATTGTATCATTGTTTCAAAAATATCAATACGAAATTTCTAATCTTGTTTATGTTACAAATGTTCTAATGCGCAACTAATTTTTTCTAATTTTCATGTGCGTTAATTTTAAAGATATAAATTGGTATTTAAGAGATAACTTCTCCAAAATAACATGAATTAGAATCAAAATAAGAATTTTAGCTTTTTTGAGTGTAGTATTAATAAAAATATAAATAATTATTAAAATTACTTTTATTGAAATAAGTTTTTAAATAATAATTTTCTTATTTCCTGTCATTATTTTTAACGGGTCAAATTTTCTCAAAAAAATCAAAGTTGGTCATGGGTCTTTGAATTTTGGTAAAACTTGATATAAATGTAGTGTTTTATGATAAAAGATTTTAGTAAGAAATTTTTTTTAAAATTTTTAAAATTGTGGATTTTACCTGGCATCAAACATTAAAGAAAATTTTTTTTTTAAAACAAATAACTTTTATCCATTTAGTTAGATTTTGTTTATATTTTGGGTAATAATAATTGATTTTTTAACAATTTAAAGTGCAATATTAGAAAAAAGTCCAAAATTTTCCCGTAAAAAGAGTCAAAAAAAATTCTGATTTAATTTTTTGAAATTTAAGCTTGCAAGTTGACCCACCTTGAAAAATTCATAATAATATGGAAAAACTCAAATAAATTTATAAAAATTTATTTATTCTCCTTCACTATAATTACTTACAATTAATGTTTCTGAACATAATTTAAATTTGAATTTTTAAAACGAATTATTGATAAATACAATTTTTTTTAAATAAAAAAATTTTTTTGAAAAATAAAAACTTGTTTTTTAATTACAGGTGGGGCAACCTGCAAGCCGAAAAGTGAGTCAACCTGCAATTTTTAATTCTATTTTTAAATCGATGAAAAACATATTAATTCATGATATGTTAAAAAATTCCTTTTGGATTATCAAAATTGATTAAAAATGCAACTCAGAAAAAAATTGTATCTTAAATTATCTATAAAAATATTTCATTTGTTAGCACATGAAGAAGTTTTTCAATTTTTCCATAAGTCAATTTCAGAATTTGTTTAACAAGAACATTTTTATTGCTTCTTCTTGCTCCAAAAGAGCATAAAAAGTAATAACTAATCATTTGACAACAATAACAGTTCCGTTTTTGATTATAACACTTTTAAAATAAAAAATAACGCAAGTGGGTCAACCTGCAAGCATTTCCCCTACTTGAAAAAAAAGTTTTTCGAACAATTTTAAAACTTTTTTCATGATAAATTTTTAATTATTAAATTAAGTAACTTCACTTATTTTACTTAACATTTCACCAGTGATAATTTTTAAATAATTTTTTATTCATGAAAAGAAGTAATGGAAAAAGTACAACTGGCAGTGTACTGCACTAGCACTATCAGTATCGGTAGCTACACTGACAGACAGCACTGTCATGACGCTAAAATAATAACGATGTCTCGCGCTGACGGAAGTATCTACTGTCCAGTGCTGACAGAATATTGCCGCAATGAATACCGTACTGTTATTTATAGTTACAAAGTAATAATTATAAATAATTTAACAACAAAATAGTAAATAATTATTAATAAATTATTACTATTCATAAAATATTCCTCTTCTTAATTAAATTGTATTACAAATGGAGACTAACAATTCAAATTTTTGTTGTAAACACTAAAAAAATTCAATTTTGGAGAAATTACAAATAATTGCAGAAATTCAATTATTTAAAAAAAAAATAAAATTCTTCATATAAAATTCAACTATATTCAAAATTTGAAAAAAATTCTCGTAAAAATACCAATTATCTTTATAAATAACAAAATTTTTCTCCAAAGTTCAATTATTCTCATAAATGTCAAAAAAATTCTTGTCCTAATTTCAATGATTTTCAATATCTACTATTTTAATAAGATTTCCCAAAAAGAATTCAATTACACAGGCTGATAAAATTTTGGCGATCCTCAAAACCAAGAATCAGCCAATCTGACCTCAGAATTGCCCCATCACGTCATGTTTTTGAGATATTCAAACCTAAAAGTGCTAAAAACACTTTTTTTTTTGGACATTTTTGAAGTCCTGTATAATCAAGAGAAAATTTTTTTCTAAAAGTTATTTGCGGCATCTGAAAGTACTATTCTTTCCCTTTAAAAATCCTTTTGAAACTTGAAAAAATCTTTTTTTTCACTGACATATCGTCATTTGAAGTTTTTGAATCTGGTCAGAATACGAATATTAACAAAACCAAATTCAAAAAATTCAAATGACGATATCTGAGTGAAAAATAAAGATTTTTTTAAGTTTGAAAAAGCTTTTTAAAGGGGAAGAATTACTATTCAGATGCCGCAAATAATTTTTAGAAAACAAATTTTCTCTTGAATGTACAGGACTTCAAAAATGGCCAAAAAACCGTGTTTTTAGCACTTTTAGGTTAGAATATTTCAAAAAATTGAAGTGATGGGGCAATTCTGAGGTCAGATTCGGATTTAGCACGTCAAAATCCTTTGGAAAAGTATTGTCCAGTTCTTGGTTCTGAGATTCGACAAAATTTTGTCGGCCTGTGTTATTTCAAAAAATTTTTAATAAAATTGTAAACAAACATTTAATTATTTTTATAAATAATTAAATTTTTTTAAAGAATTCAATTATTATTTTCATAAAAAATAATTTAAAATTCTAGAAAATAAGAATTGAGTTAAAATGATGTTATTGCAATTTTGAATGAATTATAAAATAAAAATAATAATAACATAATTATTAATATTAAATTTGAAGAAGTTAACAATTTCAATAATTATTAATAATTATTAATAATAATAAAGTACATGTTTCGGTAATCTGTTCGGAGTTTGAAGTTAGTTGTTTGTTTGCTTTTTTGTTTCACTTTTTTACAATTTTTCTTTTCAAATATTTTCAATTTGAAAATTAATCTATTGAAAATCATTGAATTGTTGCAAAGAATTTTATCAAAAAATTTGATAATAATAGAATTCTTTCAAAGAATTTTATTATTTAGAAAAATAACTGAATTCTCGCAAAGAATTTTATTAAAATTTTTAAAAATCGTAATTAAATTCTAAAGAAGAATTTCTTTGAATTTTTTTAAACTAATGGAGTTTTTTTAGTAATTTTAATTGAAAATTTTGAAAGCAACTGAATTTTATGAAGAAGAATTTTATTAAAATTGAATTGAAAATAATTCAATTCTTGCGAAGAATTTTACTATTTATAAAAATAGTTGAATTGTTTCGAAGAATTTATTAAATTTTTAGGAAATAATTGAAATTTATGGAAATATTTAAAAATATTTGAATTTATCCGAAGAATTAAATTATAATTGTTTTGAAAATAATTGAATTTCTGCAAAGAATTTTATTATTTATAAAATTAATTGAATTCTTGAGAAGAATTTTACTATTTATAAAAATAACTGAATTTTTTCGAAGGATTTATTGAAATTTTAGAAAAAAATTGAATTTTTTCGAAATTTGTTAAATTTTTTTTTTAAATTGAATTCTTTTGAGGAATTTAATTAAAATTGTTTGAAAAATCATTGAATTTTTTTTAAAGATTTTACTATTTATAAAAATAATTGAATTCTTTCGTGTAATTTTATTAAAATTTTTGAAAATATGAACAGTAATACCTAATTAATTTTGTAGGTACTTAATACGTGAATTTTTTAAATTTTGATTATGAAATTATTTAAAAAAATTATATTTAAAAATAAAAAATTTTGTAATTTGCATAACAATAATAAAGTGAATATAACGTTCCGCGCGTAAAATTTGCTAGTAATATATATATACAATCTACCTAAAGATAACAAAAACAAAAGTATAAACAAAAAACAACTTCAGAGTGTGAGGGACAGAAAAAACCTGATCTGGTCCCGATTAGGGCCATGGCAAAATTTCTACACGAGAATAAGTACCACCAAAGTATTGTTGCAATTGAAATTAAAATTTTGTTTACAATTTGAATTTGTTTAAATAATTTGTTATTCAGAAACTTAGAAAATTATGTTAAATTATTATTATGCATAAAACTTAATAAAAATAAGAAATAGATAACTGAAAATTTAAAATTAATTTTTTATTATTTCTTTCAAGTATATGTATAATAAAAAGCTCGGTTGGACTGCGGCTGAACAATAGGCTGAGTACTAAACTAGAGGAAAGCATCAGTACTACACTTGTATTTTCCAAGGGATTTTACATTATTTAATATTCACTATACCAATTTTATATTTCACTGGCAAATTTGAAATAGCTATGAAATAGCTACATCTAACATCTTTCAAAATGAAAAGTCTCTTATGTTGGATTTTACATTATTTAACATTCACTATACCAATTTTATATTTCACTGGAAGATTTTGTTATTGCTTTGAAATATCAGTATATTAAACTTGTTAGATGTAGCTAATCCTTCTTTTGAAACGAAAAGTCCCTTAGGTTGCTACAGAGACGTGAGCTAATTGTTTCATTCTTCTCTCTCTTCCTTGATCTACAAGAGAATCTACAGTAACGCTCAGAAATGAGTTGAACCGACTGACTAACCAGTCAGCCGGAAATTGTTCTTCGTGGATTTCCATGCAAGTGGAAAAAGTTAATATTACTCAGACAGGTGCACCTCAAGTGATTTTAGAATTGTTTCTCTTCCTAAGAGGGAAATATTAAATCAAGGGAAAGTAGAAACTTCATTGACATAGAAATTCTATCAAATACTAAGGGTATAGCCGGATAAGTATGAAAAAAGTGCCCCCGCATGTATTATTTTCATATTTTTCCCATACATTTCTATACCAACTTAAAATTAATGTTCTGAAATTTTCAACTCAAAATTTTAATTTCATTCAGATGCTGCGAAAAAAACCGTTCTAGAAAAAAAGTCACAGTAAATTTCCTTCTTGCTTACATTCTTACTTGTTTAATTACTTACTTTCTTATTTCCTTCTTGCTTACTTGATTATTTGCTTACTTTCTTGCTTACTTACTCAGATCAGTATCTATTGTCCCTAGTAAAGCTAAATTCGGTGAATTTTGACAAATTATTGACTTGGTTATGATTAGCAATCAAATTTCATTCATAGTCAATAATAACATGGGTTATTTCAATCCATTCTGGTGTTATTTTAACACCTCACGATTTACTGTGATACACTGAAAAAAACTTTAATTGATTCAAATTAATTAATTGGCTATTATCAATTAAATATTTACTTAAATCAAATAATATTTATTGGAGTCAATTAAATGGTATTTGAACCAACAATTTCAGTATTTGAAGCAAATACCATTTAATTGACTCAAATAAATATCATTTGATTTAATTAAATATTTAATTGATAATAGAATAGTCAATTAATCGGTTATTTGAATCAAATAAATTTTTTTTCAGTGAAGGAGTGATATTGTTTTTAAAAGAAAGCTAAGATACCAGAGTAAGTTTTCTGGGAGATAAACATTAAATTGAAACAAAAATATCCGAGTAAAACAGCAAAGAGTGGAAACTAAGCCATAACGCCCCGGTCTCCCCCAATTATTAATTAATAGGCATGTCATAATAATATAATTAGATGCGAGGCATTCTTTGTCAACGGGACCCCCTGCTCTTCAAAAATGGTTTGCGTTTAAATTACCAGCTACAATCTTCAACTTTAGTTAAAAAGGAATACTTTTAAATGCCAAGTAGCAGTTTTTTAAAATTCAAAATAGCGGATCCAATATTGCGAACGAATTTTTAAAAAGTAGTTAGATTTTTACGAAAATTGGTATCTAGGGGTTTTTGGAGTCGCTGATTACAAATTTATCGTCAGATATAGGACGGTAGTCAAATATCTTTGTT